TATTTTAAATAATTAAATACTTTTTTATTTTTATTTTTTGTTTTCTCTGTATAAGTTATATTATATTTTGTACCAACTAATATTAATAGTTAAACTTAAACTTGTACCTACTCACATTAATTTATTACTTTTCTAAAAGGTTTAATATAAAAAAAAAATAATAATAATAATAATAATAAAAAAAATTGCAACTAGATAAAAAATTAAAATATAATTTAAGGAAAAAATCATATTCTTATAAGTTTGACAAAAAAATAAAATAAATAAAAAATGTTACAAGTGAATACATGATCAGAAAAAAACACAGAAACTTAAATCATTAGAATAAGCAAAATATAAAACAAATAACAGAACTATATTATTCAAGCTAAAATGAAACATATTGGGCCCAACAGGAAATCAGCTAATTTATGCACTTGTCTTGTATGATTTTTAATATATTAAAGCAGATACCCTTTCAAATAAACCTAATAACTTTATTTAAAATTAAAAATCGTTAATGAACTAATAGAGAATACATTGGAATATAAGAAAAAAAATATAAAATGATAACAAAAAAAATATTGTATAAATATGTAGTTTAATAATTTTTTTATCTTTATTCTAGAAATATTTTTTCTTCAAAAATTTTAATTCATCATAGATATATTAAATTATTGCATATATACACTTAACGGGATCCATGTAATTTGTATAACTATTATAGTTATACTTTATACCAGGCATACCCAACCTTTTACAACTGGCGGGCTACATTCAAAATGTATATTTGTGTAAAAAAATTATCAATGCGTATATTTTATAGTATTTGTTTCTACTTAATATATTTGCTAACAAACGTTTTCACCCATGAATTATGTAAAATGTTCAAAAAGATATCGTTTGACTGAAGAACACTTACTCTTCTTATTAAGAATTGGCGTTACACATTTCACTCCGAACATTGAAAGATTCGTTAAAGAAAAACAAGCCCAAATTTCTCACTAATTTTTTTTTTATTAATATTTTTTATATAAAAATTTAAAATTGTAAAATATTTTATATTTTTAAAAACTTAATAAACTATATTTTTTTTTAAATAATATTTTTTTTTACACCTAAACAAATTTCTAATTTTTATAAAATGTTCACGGGCCAGTTGGAACACCTTCGCGAGCCGAGGGTTGGGCATACCTGCTTTATACTATATGTCAGGGACAGATCCGGAAATTTTCAAAAGAGGGGGCAGTGACGGTGCTAGAAATTACAGGGCCCCAGAAAACAAATCACTACCTATACTGCAGGGTATTTGAACCGCTACCCGCGGGGCCTAAATTAAAATTTTAAAACGCCGGGCCCGAGGAAATGCCCCTATTTCCCTCTTCCCTCGAGCTCTCACTAGAGGGCGGATAATAACAAAAACCATAGGTCATCAGATAAAAAAAGCTTGGCCCAATAATATCTTATTTTTTATTGGAATTGGAGGGCGCACCCCCTTCACCCCCCCCCATTCACATCCCGCCTTCACCACCACCACCCACCCGGATCCTGCTCTGCTATATGAGTAAACATATGTATAAGTTGGCAAAAATTAATAATAAATAATATCTGAATGTTTAATTCATTCTTATAGTAATAGGAGTATTTTTAGTTAAATTTAAATTTTTGTAATCGATATGTTTTAGTTTTGATTATTTTTTCAAGGATTCAAATATTTAATAATATACTTTAACGAAGGGTTCTATCAACCGTGTTATTATATTAGTTAAGGTAAAATTGTTATATTAAAAATAAAATAGAATTTTGAGATATACTACCAAAGTAATGTTGAACAGGGTAAAAATTAATAAATTATTTAAGTAAAAGTCCTTCAAAACTTTTTTCGGAATAGAAATCATAATTGGTAAAATTGTGAAAACAGTAATACTTGATATATCATTTATCAACTTCCAAATATTAAGACAACATGGTAAATTTCTTTATAAATTTTTTTTGATATATAATTTTAACAAAAATCGAATAAATTTAATAAGTCATTTAAATCGATAATTCAAACATAAAATTGGATAAATTATTCAATTACTTCATTAAAATACGTTTTAAAAAATAATAATTAACTTTATAAAATTATTTTTACCGGAAAACATCTATAAATATATACAGTAAGTACGAGATAACTCTTAAAAAAAAAAAATTATTGTAAAATTGCTTGTGATATTATACCTAATAATACCATACTACCAACATAACTTATGACGATAATAATTTTATTAGATAACAGTAGATCTAATAAGTCCAACAAAAAAAACAGTCTGATAATACCTATATTATCTGCCTATGAGTAGGCTTGCCAAATTTTAAAATCACCTAACCGGGACATCATATAAAAATCACCTTTTTTATTTTAGTATGTAAGTATAATTACATGGAAATAATAAACAGGTAACATAATACGATAATGACGCAATGACGTAATGATATTATGTACAATATTATTCCATGTTTCGATCTTAAATAATGTAATATTAAAGTTATTTTAGCTCGGCTTCCATTAACCGGGACAAAATTAATGACAAGCCGGGACATCAGGATATGCTGTTAAAACCGGGACGAATGGCAAGCTTACCTATGAGTCACAAGAAGAACATTAAATATTTAAATAACAATATTCATGTAATATAAATCACTTATTTTAAATAATTTAAACCTTGAAACATAAACAAATCACACAATATATCAATGAGTACGAGAAAAAATTTTCAAAATCATTACCAATATAAAAATTAATAAAGGTTCGATTCGATATGTATTAGCAAATATTAGTGAAATACTTAATTATCATGCACAAGTTAAAAAATATTGATAAATTTAAGTAGCAATATCAATATAGATTATCAACTAAATGTTAAAAAGAATAATAATGTATTAAAAAATACCTTACCACATAATTAATAACAATCCGTTGCATTACATCTATTTCAATTTGTTAAGAACAAACTTCTCCATCAATATTTCTAATATTTCACTTGGTTCAATAGATATATTTTAAAATTGAAGTAATTTGTTGTACTCTTACAGCACTTCTCAACTTTGAACTTACTATTGTATTAATACTTGTACAAATAATAAATCGATAACCTTATCATTTATAATATTAAAAAATATAATTGTTACCAACTTACGTACCAAAATAATAATATTACATATGATGTTAGGTTATAATATAATATGGTCCGTTAATTCTTATAGCTGTTAGGAAAAATAAAGAGCCACCTAAAAAAAATATATAAAATTAAAAATTATGTTTTATAAAATTATGTTTGAAAAATACTAAACTAATCAATAAATTATTACTATAGTCGGAAGAAAAAATGGGTCGCTGATGGGAACGCTCCAAGTGGTGAATTTCTATAATGGCTACGCAAAATAATAAAAATAAAAAAAAAGCGCGCGTATTTTGAATTATAAATGTATTTACTTTGTATAATAACTCACTACACAACACAAATAAATAGCTTTGATAATTTCAAACTTTCATTATTTTATTTAATACAAAATTCATTCTAATATAATATGTACAAGTCAAATGGTATTAGTGTGGTAAACCAGTGTTGCCCAAAAGGCGTGGTGTGGCACACCAGTGTGACAACTTTAACTTTATATACATATATATAAGCCACTTTTATTTGGAAAGTAAATAATATTTAATATTTATCCAAAAGTGCCGTGACTTATAATAACTTTACAAATAACAGGGTATAGATACTGTCTGATATTGACCAAATCAGGCAACATTGACCTTGAACACGGTTTCCAGATGGTGTTTCATACGTTATCACTTAAATAAATAATATCAATATTATCACAGAACAATATATTGTTGAAAATTAGTTGAAACTGTTGAAAGAACACTGATTAATAATAAAAAAATGCAACTATTGCAATTTCAAATTTACTCGTTTCCGACAATATTTGTTTACATAAGACCCGCGAAAATCACGCGAGCAATGGATTGTTTTCGTTTTTATAATATCGTAATAAATAGGAATAAACGTTACTAACATCAGTCAGATTACGGATATGGTTTTAACTTTTAGAATCCAATTTTTCATACCGTAGGGGTACAGTAAACCGCCCAGCTGATTGAGTGTCGTTTCTATATTATTCTGTGTTAATAATAATGTGCTGCTATGGAAAAAAGTTTGGGAACTACTGTTTTGTATCGATCACACTTCGCGTTACTCATATTTAGAGCCCCTGTTTTTCGGAAACAAATCGTTACTAACATATTTGATAGCGACCAATTTTCATTCTCCCTCTGGCTTCTATGTACTGTTCATAACACCGTGATTTCCTAAAAAAAAAATTGACGCTATGATTGACTGAATTTTGTAGTAAGTAGCAAATAAAAATGTTACCACACCAAATTTCATATAACATAGAAGATCTAAATCCAATTGCACTCTTAGAATATGATATGCCATTGATCATAGAATAGAACTGTATAGTTTATTCTATAATCCAGGGATCGGTAACTGGCGGACCGCGGTCCGAATCCGGACCACGGAAGGCAAAACTCTGGACCCTGTCAACACATTGTACTTCATTATGTTATTTTCTTTAATAGTATTATTATTTATAGAGAAATTTATTTTATTTTATTTAATTTATCAAACTCAGATTATAGTTATATCATAATTCATTGAAAAATATTTTATCGGGCAGGTAATAATTGGTTTTATTACAATGATAATTAATATAAATTAATTGTAATAATTGAATAATTATTTTTATTTTTATACTGCTATTTTTAAAATATAAAGATTTGAAAAAGATTTTTTTCACTGGACCTCATTGATTTATTATTTTAATCTTTAGGACTCCAATAG